TTTTAGTCTTGAAACAGCCAAGGAGAGGTAAATCAAAGTAAATTCTGGGGATTATTTTTACTATAAAAGACTTTAGAAGAACCAGAAAGTAGATTAGTGGTTGCCTAGGGCTGGGGGTGGAGGGGGAAAGGGAGTGACTGCTAACGGCTACGAGATTTCTTTTCAAAGTAATGAAAATGTTCTAAAATTGGAATGTGGTGATATTTACACAACTTGGTGAATATACTAAAAACCATTGCATTGTACAACTTCAAGTGGGTAAATTTTGCGGAATGTGAATTATATATATCTCAATAAGCTGCTAAAAAGACTTTTGATGGAGAGAGAACAAACAAAATTGCACCTCTGAGAACAAATCAAGATTACTTGTGCCAAACATAAGTAAACCCAAGATTTTTCATTGCCAGTCACCCAGAACAAACTCCGTTAGGAGCCATCACCATCCCTTGAGAAATGTCCCTTTGCTATAAGCACTTTATCCATCCTGTAAAGGGATCAGCAGCACTTGGAGATTGCCCTTCAGGCCACACTCTGTCCCTTCATTTGGATGTGTCCTGCTAGACCTCTGTTTTTCCGTCATAGCCAACATATTTATTGGAGGTGATAGTAAGAACTGTGGCTGGAGAGCACTGGGCAATTATTCATGCTTCACAGTGTGTCTTTTGTAAGTCAGTAGAATGACTAAAAGTTAAGCTGCTTCAGATGAAGGATATGTTTTGTGAGCACTGATTATTTCTTTTCATCGTCTTTAACAAATTGGATTTATGACTTGGATATGAGCAGAGTTTTTTTCCTTCATTTTAATTATTGGTTTACTTTGGCAAATAGTAATTCAGTGACTGCAAAACAACCATACAGACGGCATACGTGAGAGAAGGAACAAATTTGCCATCGTGAAATATAAATTGTCTGAGGTCATTCACCTACTGAAAATTGGTAAAGGCTTTAAAATGTGACAATCCCCAGTATAATCAAGGTTGGCACAAAAAGAGCAATCTCGTGGCTCCATTGCTAAACATGCTCATTTTATTTCAATAATTCTACTGCTATTAACTTATCTCAAAGAAATGATCAAAGTAGCCTAGAAACAATGCTTACCCTAGGATATCTTAAATGTTCAACATTGAGAGGCATAGCTAAACAGCCCAACTAAAACTAGACAACAGAATGTTATGCATAAAACTCATAAAAATATGTACATACTGACAGAAAAATGCACTGTAGTACTAAAATGCTTAGAAAAAATAAGAATTTGGGCTGGGCCAGTGGCTCACGCCTGTAATCCAAGCACTTTTGGGAGGCCCAGGCAGGCAAATCACCTGAGGTCAGGAGTTCAACATGGTGAAACCCAGCCTCTACTAAAAATACAAAAATTAGTTGGATGTGGTAGTGGACACCTGTAATCCCAGCTACTCGGGAGGTTGAGGCAGAAGAATCACTTGAACCTGGGAGGTGGAGGTTGCAATGAACCAAGATCACACCATTTCACTCCAGCCTGCGTGACAGAGCGAGACTCCATCTCAAAAACATAAAAAATAAATAAGAATTCGTGGCCAGGTGTGGTGGCTTACACCTGTAATCCCAGCACTTTGGGTGACTGAGGTGGGCGGATCACGAGGTCAGGATTTCAAGACCAGCCTGACTAACACGGTGAAACCCATCTCTGCTAAAAATACAAAAATTAGCTAGGCATGGTGGCAGGTGCCCGTGTAATCCCAACTACTTGGGAGGCTGAGACAGGCGAATTGCTTGAACCCAGGAGGTGGAGGTTGCGGTGAGCTGAGATGGTGCTGTTGCACTCCAGTCTGGGCAACAAAGCAAGACTCCATCTCAAAAAAAAAAAAAAAAAAAAAGAATTTGTAGTGAATGAGCGATTATACAAAAGTATGAACAGACAGATAGAATGGAGAGGAAGCAGCTATCGTGGTTTAGCTGAGTAGTGACTTCTGTTTTCTTAAAGGAGCTTTATGATTTTGAAATACCTTCAATGAACAATGTGTCTTCTGCGTACTTTAATGTTATTACTTTTTTAATGATTTTAGTCCAAAGACTTCCTTAAGAATCTTCTTTCACTTTTTAGAATTAGGATTAGAGTATTGACCATAAATGTTTAACATTCTAATGGGGCAAATTCTATTTATAGAACTCTGAATCCTTGCAGTGTAGAAGTGTTGCCTAGAGAGCCCATCATTCTGACCCTTTTAAATTATTAATACAACATAGAAGTGCTGAGATGCTAGGAATATTGCCTTCAATGGGCAAGTAACACAATTACCATTTACAGTAATTTCTGAAATATGAGTTCATCCTTCTTACATACAATTAATCCACAAGTAGGTGATTGCTAGCACTGGTGGTTCCATAGCTCAGAACAGCAATAGCAATATTGTTGTGATTCTCTTTTTTTCCTGGCTACAAATTGCTGCTAAGCTCCAGCTCCAGCTCCAGGAATCATATCTTCACTTAAGGCAAGAAAAAAGAAAGGGGAAGGGGCCACCACAGCCTTAATAAAAGCTTTCCAAAACATACACTGTACCCCAGAAAACTTTTGCTTAGACCTCATGGGTCAGAGCTCAGTGCTAAGGAGTCAGTGCTGGAGAATGTTCATCTTTTGAACATCTACAGTGGGAAGTGGCAATGGAGAAGGGAACTGGGATGACTCTGGGTACTCAGTAGACCTTGGGGAGTAGGACATGTTCTTGTAGTGGTTGATATAGTGTGTATACACAGGTTCATTTTTAAGATTGGAGGGTTATATGCAACAATTATATCTCAGAAAATGTCCTAGTTTAAGTCTCTGGACTATCTCTGCTAAATTCTGTCTTAGAAAAGGGTAAGTTGGCTATATATTTTAGGACTTCGTAATTAACAGGAACCCAGCTGGTCGTGGTGGCTTATACCTGTAAGCCACAAGTGGGCAGATCACTTGAGGCCAAGAGTTTGAGACCAGCCTAGCCAACATGGTGAAACCCCGTCTCTGCCAAAAGTACAAAAATTAGACAGTCTCATAACCTGGCCTCAAACTACATAAATAGATAAAGTTTTGAAAATGAAATAACAGGAGTTTTCAAAATGGATAAAAATCCCATGCTTTATCACTAACTTATAGACAAGGACTAACATCCACAGTTATGTACACAATAGCTGCCTCTTCAGTGTGGCTAATTTTTCTCCATTTGAAGCAGTAACTTACATGTGCCCTAAATTACTGTCCTCCAACCATCTCTTTTATATTGTCTTTCCTATCCTTCCCAAAAAGGAAGCCAAATTAATTAACAAACTGAAATAAAAAAAGAATGTGAGTTCCCTGTATGGGAAAGTAGCAAGTCTAAACTTCAGGGGTTTTTTTGTGAGTTTTTTGTTTTGTTTGAGACAGAGTATTGCTTTGTCACCCAGGCTGGAGTGCAATGGCTTGATCTCGGCTCACTACAACCTCTGCCTCCTGGGTTCAAGCGATTCTCCTTCCTCAGCCTCCAGAGTAGCTGGGATTACAGGTGCCTGCCACCACGCCCAGCTAATTTTTGTATTTTTAGTAGACACGGGGTTTCACCATGTTGACCAAGCTAGTCTCGAACTCCTAACCTCAGGTGATCTGCTCACTGGCCTCCCAAAGTGCTGGGATTACAGGTGTGAGCCATCGCACCCAGCCTAAACTTCAGTTTTAATTTTGAAAGCAGTGGTTTGGGGACTATCTTGGGGAAACAGGCAGTAGAATATTAGGGTTTTTTCTGCCTATTATTGTGCTCAGGTGCCATAATCTAACCAGCCAGTGGTCTCACTTTCTTGCTGTCCTTCATTTTAAATGGGCAATACTAATGAGAGCTGTCATTAAATTCTATGTGCCCTTCAAAATATCTGAAATCACACTGACTGAACAAAATGAATTTCTTAGTGAGTCTTGCCAAGACTCTCAAATGCTTACTTTCTTTTGAATATTATAAATGGATTATAATTGTTTTTCCCTTAAAATTATCTTTTTTCCCCGAATAATCAATAGCAAAGTTTGAAAGGTTGCTACCTTCTTCACTTCTCTTCTGGAGTATCTCTAATGGGTAACGCTGTGACATCATTGGACAGGGTGTTCTCTTTTTGAAGCACGATGTTTATCTGATGCGTTTAGATGGCTTTTTCCAGGGAAGTCATTTGGCTCAGCAAACTGTCTGAGACTGGACAAAATGGTAATAGCAGCGGAGGCAAAGTAATAACATGTATGTGGTGTTAAGAACGTTAATAGTGGCCAGGCATGGTGGCTCGCTCCTGTAATGCCAGCACTTTGGGAGCTCAGGTAGGCAGTTCTCAAGGTCAGGAGTTCATTAGCCTGGCCAATATGGTGAAACCCCATCTCTACTAAAAGCACAAAAATTAGTCGGACTTGGTGGCGCACGCCTGTAATACCAGCTACTCAGGAGGCGGAGGCAGGAGAACCAATTGAGCCTGGGAGGTGGAGGTTGCAGTGAGCCCAGATCATACCACTGCACTCCAGCCTGGGTGACAGAGCAAGACTTGGTCTCAAAACAAACAAAACAAAAATGTTAATAGCAAGGGCCAGGTGCAGTGGCTTACTCCTGTAATTCCAGAGACTCAAGAGGCTGAGGTGGGAGGATCACTTAAGCTCAGGAGTTCAAGCAAAGGAGTTCAAGACTAGCCTGGGCAACATAGCAAAACCATGTATGTATCTCCAAGAGAATTAAAATAAAAAAATTCACAAGAAAACAGGACATCACTAGCTTGAAAATTTTTATTTGTAATTTCAGAATTTTAAGTTTCTTTGTTGTGAAAGTAGAAAAGTGAAAACATATTAGCTAATCAGCTACAAATTACCAAAGAGACTATTACCAATAATTACCAACAAAATGAAAGAATTATCAGGAAATGCAGCCATTCTCTGACAGTGCACACAGGCTTTCTTACTTTATGTGGCTAAGACACCGTACGGGGAGGTAAGAGTTGGGGGACACACAAGTCCTTAAAAGAAACTGTTTCTATGGTTGTATTTTTAGAACACCAAGCTGAAAGGTTATCAGAAAAGAGACGTGAAGCTTGGAGGCCTCGGACCCGACTTTGAGTCCCTCAGAGACAAAGTGAGTAAGATGAGCATAGTGTTTCCAGGCCTGACTCAGCCCATCTGCCCTTTGGCAAAACTTAATGAAGACATCCCCCAGAATTAAGCCCTAATTCTAATGTCTCACTCCGAATAGAGTCCCTTCTGACATAACATTGGTATAGAGACCCGGACACTCCTTTTGCCTTAAAATAAAAATATTTAGCTCATGTTGTTATATGTATCTGTCTTTCGGTTAGTTTTGAAGGTCTGCATGGAAAAGTGGGACACATGTACACAAGAAGAAATGTGTATGTTATGTGGTTGTTGGTCTTTCCCACTAGAGTTATCTTGATAATTGTAAAGAGTGGCTACAGAGAAGACACTTAGGGGAAGAGTTTCCCAACCCCTGAAAAGTGCATCCACTTTATTCTCTTTCCTCTAGTGAAAGGAGATCTTCATTTAATGTGTTTTAACTGCAGTTGCACTCAAGGCATAAAAAGAGAGTATAGTTCAAAGTTGGAAGCAAAAATGAAAATAAATTGGGTAAATGCAACAAAGAAGATTCTGAATGTGATTTAGCCCCTGTTAAGGGAATACTGAGTGTGCTATTGCAGTGATGTTTCTCCTCACAGAGAGACTATTTCAAGGAGAAACTCTACCTTAACCATTTCACTGCTGCCGCCTTACTCAAGGTGATCTCATTTCACCTGCACAGCTGACAAGATATGCCCAGTGTACTGATAGGCATTGCTTTAAATAAAGAGCAGAGAGAACTAGCAGCACCTGGATTCATCATAACTTCCTTTCTCTGAACAGATGCAAAAATTACTACAGCAAAAGGAATATTCGAAACAAGTCAAGGAGTACAACATGAAGACACTGTCCATTCTGTCAAAACCACAAACAGCAAAAACTGAAAATAAATCTGCTGTCCCTCGGCAGAAGGTAAGAACTTCTCAACAAGGCATTTGTGTTTTCAATCAGAATTCAAAGGAAACTTTTATTACTGCTCTTTTTTTTTAAATCAGGGACAGGGTCTTGCCATCTTGCCCAGGGTGGTTATAAACTCCTGGACTCAAGGTATCCTCCCAACTAAGCCTCCCAAAGTGCTGGGACTATGGGTGAGAGCCACTGCACTCAGCCTGTCTTCTCTTAACTTTAAAAAAAAAAAAAAACCTTCCCATGTGTTTTGGAACACAGGAGATGTTTTAGCTACTTCCATCATTCACAGATAGTAATGCAACACACACACACACACACACACACACACACGCACACATGCGCACACACACACACACGATGCTATAAAGTTAACCTTTGTTTCTCCTGAAGTTATTGTTCCATGTATTTTCTTCCAATAGTATCTTAAATTTGTCACACATAAAAACTAAATACTAATGTGGTTTCTTAAATGAGCAATCTTCATTATCAACTTTATTTTGTATCATTAAATAAGTTTTAAGGCAGTTGTTGCCTTTTTGCAACTTATCTGTCAAAGCAAAGACATCATTGTTTCTCTCAACTTCATTCCCCTACACTTTCTGCAGGGATTGTAATATATATTCTCTCTATTGAAGAAAAATGATTTCATGGAATACAGAGTGTTCTCCCTCTCAGATGGCATCAGCCATCGGTTGTGATGTGAATGAAACATGTACCGTAGAGACACAGAGCTCTGCAGCACTAGTCTCTGCCTCAGTTGATCTATCTAGTCCCTGTAAGGACACAGGACCCTTTGCATGAGGAACAAGAGATCCTTTGGTGCCTGCAGGATTTTGTACTTCATGTTCTCTTTCACAGACCTTCGTATTTTCTATTTATTGCCTTTCTCCCTCAGACCTTGAAGACCTCAGTCCACTTGACAGAGTTTCCATGGTGCTACTTTTTCTTTTTTCTCCAAGCCACTCTTTTTTTCATGAAGTGTTTCAAGCAACAAACCTATAATTAGAAATATCTGTGGCATTCACCTACATGTGCTGAGAAGTCTAGAATTTTCTTTTCTACATTGTAGAGGTTTTTTCCCCTCTTGCAGGACTCAAAGCATACTATTAATTGTCATTTCAGCTATCAACAGCCCCTTACTGAAATGCAAAACTGTTACAAATGCAGGTTTAGAAAACATATTTAGTGATCTCATTTTTATTGGAATGCCTTTCAGAACTGACATCACTGAGAAAAAGACTGCCTTTTTTTTCAGCATCTAGATTGCTACAGAAAGAAAAAAAAATGTTTATCTCAAATACTTTCTAGAGCCTAGGAACAAGGATAGCTGGTATAATGATGGGAGCTCAGGTGTATGTAAACCACAGTAATGTCTTTGGTCTCAAGCTGTAACAAGTCTTCTTTGGATAGAAAGGTCTATTAATACCTCCTTAATAGAAGTTTGGTTTTACTAAGACTTCTAGAAACTAAGTAGACCAAACCCATAAGAAGGAACTCAGTTTTATACAAAAGCATTCAAAAGACACAAGTGTACGTATCATTCTTCAGCTCCCTTTTTTCCCACAGTATATTGTTTTGTGGCTAAAAGATTTTGTTTAAACTGTGTGTTATATTGCATTATTTGATCTCCATTTCCACCAGTCTTAGTAAGTTATAGCAATAGTCTCCATTTATATTATAAATAAACATTTCCTAGATTTAATTTAAGGAATCCAAGCTCACTTCCCATTTCAAATAAAATTTCATCTTTATGCATTTAGGCTTTGGAATATGCTAAGACCATCCCCAAACCCAAACCAGCAAATCCGACTCATCAAGCATCAAAGGAGCAACAAAATCCAACCTATGCTGGGAAAGAAGAAAGTTTACCTGGAATCTCACTGCTGGAAATACTGCAGAACAGACACGAAAGGGAAAAACAGGCTGTGGCTGCTTTCAAAGTCCTTCGCATCGTGTAGAAAACATTTGGTAGGAAGGAGACCAAAAATGATCCAGGAATGGACACGGAGAAAAGAAACACCAACCACCTTCTCTGTGTTGAGAGTGATAACCTACTATTCCCATCTAACTGCAGTCCATGTTTGCTTTCTGAAGGATTTAAAATATGGGTCCATATTTTACTTTCTAGGAAGAAATTTTTAAAAATTATTTATTTTCAAATGAGTTAGAAATTGGGGCTGAATAATAACTAGAGAATAAAGCTTTTGGTTTTATATCGATTTTTTAATTTCTTAATCTCTACCCCTTTCCTTAGCATAATGGAAACCTTAAAGTTACCAGAAATAAATCTAGCTGTGTTTCTCTCTTACCTTCCTAGAAAGAAAACCAAGTATAAACACTTCAGTTTCTCCTAAAATGGCCTCAGTCACCAGTAAATTTTGTGATAACATTTCAAAATATTGCTAAAATCTCCAAGTTTGGCAAAAGGTTTATATATAAAGTTGAGGACGGGCACAGTGGCTCACACCTGTAATTGCAGCACTTTGGGAAACTGAGGCAGGTGAATTGCTTGAGGCCAGGAGTTTGAGACCAGCCTGGGCAACATGGTGAAACCCCATCTCTACTAAAAATGCAAAAATTAGCTGGGCATGGTGGCGCATGCATATACTTCCAGCTACCCGGGAGGCTGAGTCATGAATGAGAATCACTTGAACTTGGGAGGTGGAGGTTTCAGTGAGCTGAGATTGTGCCACTGCACTCCAGCCTGGGCAATAGAGCGAGACTCTGTCTCAACAACAACAAAAAGTCTCCTTCCCTGACAGATTCTCTGGTCAGGGTCACAGGGATGCTAAGACAGCCGGCTGCCTGGGCCTTCGCTGACCATGCTGTCCTGGGTGGCACTTTCTGCCATTGCCACAGAGGCCCCCTCTCTGTAGAATGCAGCCTTCCTAGTCCAGGGGTATTGCAGGCAACAAGGACCTTTCACACAAGGCAGCCACTCCTTGCTCCTCTACCACCTCTTCCTTCCTTTTCCTGTGGGGGGAAAGTTCATTTTGGGTTGAGCCCTGAATAATTCTTCCAGTTTCTTTATCCCAAAACTGGTGAGGACCCTATGTGCTCCAAACTGGGGCTGATCTTGAATGCTTTATCCAAAGAAATACATATGATCACTCCAGAGACCTTCTCACCATATCAATAGTAGGGTTACTTGTCTATGTAATTTAAAAATATGGTGCCTCTATTGGAGAATTTGCTCATAAACTCAATGAGCAAAACATTGCTCAACTAGAAGAGGTGAAGCAGGCTTCATCAAACAAATCCAGGTTGCAATTGATTTGGAGAAGTCACAGCAGTCACTGGTTCACAAGTGCCATCACCTTTTTGATGTGCAGAGGAATAACATTGCTATGGCTCTGGAGGTTACTTACTGGGAACAACTGCAAAGAGTGTATAAGGAAGTAAAGAATCGCCTGGACTATCATATATCTGTGCAGAACATGACGCGCTGAAAGGGACAAGAGCACATGATAAATTGGGTGGAGAAGCACATGGTAAGGGCATCTCTCCACAGCAGCTTTGGGACCTAAAGCTATTGGAAAAGAAGGCTCACACATGGCCAGTTATGTAAATGTATCTATCCCAATTGAGACAGCCATAAACATTTGACTGGCTAGTGGAAACTAGTCTATGTGGCAAAATCTTTCTGGATTGCTGTCTACTAAAGTAGTTTATATGTCCTAAAAATGAAACCTTTGTTCAACATACTGAGAGAACTCAATCTGTTGGTCAGATGTTTCTCATCCTTCTGACTCTGCATTTGAGTTGTTCCATGATTACTTTTTTTGTTGTTGGTTTTCTCATTTTTGTTTCCAGATGGAGTCTCGCTCTGTCACCCAGGCTGGAGTGCAGTGGCACGATCTTGGCACACTGCAACCTCTGCCTCCTGGGTTCAAGTGATTCTCCTGTCTCAGCCTCCCAAGTACCTGGGATTACAGGTGTGCACTATCATGCCTGGCTAATTTTTGCATTTTTAGTAGAGACAGGGTTTTGCCAGCTTGACCAGGCTGGTTTCGAACTCCTGACCTCAGGTGATTTAATCACCTTGGCCTTCCAAAGTGTTTGGATTACAGGCATTAGCCACCATGCCTGGCCTCATGATGGTTTTTGAAAAAGTAGTTTGCCTTGATTAAATGTTGGTGCCTGACTAAAGATTACCAGGCTATAGTTTAAATTTGTAATTTATTCTACCATCTTGCAATAAAGTGACAAATGAATGAAGCAATAAATAAATAAATAATAAAGTTGAAAAAAATAAAGGTACCTCTGGCTATGCCTGCTCAGATAAAACAAATCCCAGTGTTGCCCTAACAGAGCGTCAGGACATTAGTTAGAAATCTTTCAACAAGTCCAGAAACACCCAATGCAGGCAACTCTGAGAGACACACTTTATCAAAGCTCCTTACTCCAAGTACATAAACTTGTTGGGCACTTTGCCATCACAAATATCTTAAAATATTGTCAAATGTGTGTTTTCACACATACACATACACAAACTAGATAAGACAGAGCATTCCATAGTTTACTACTGAATGCAAATATTAATAAATATTTTTTTAAAAATCTTTTTAAACATTGCAAGAATTCCCAGTCTTAAAATAATTACTGGAGGGCTTAATTTTTTACTTTCTTTCTTAGACATTACATTTTTAGATAGGCCTATCCAGAAGTGATAATCTGAACATCAACTTGGGCAAATCTGTTTATCTATACATGTGGTGTAAGGAGTAGCTTTGGAAATTTACTCCTGTGTTGTATACATTTTACATGTACCAGAATATAGTGTAAAAGGTGCCTATACAAAACCTTCTCTTAAAACTGAAAGCAGTTAGGATTGGGAGTCTGCAAAGATAACAAGTATCTGAAGATGAACAGAAAACTGGTGAATCATGTTTCAGTGGGATTTGGAAAGTGTAATATATGAGGCATTAGGCTTAGGAAAATCACAGGCCAAAACTGCTCCTAAAATATATTTGTAAGAGAACAGGCCCCTTCTGGATAAATGAAGACATTTCTAGAAATACGAGGTAGAATAAATAACTTTCATTAATGTTTTCCTAAAAAACTTGAACTTGATCTGGAAGAGAAAAACAATGCACATAGAGACATTCATATTTAAAGGAACAGGGTAAAATTTTTAAATATTCGATTTGTATTAGAATATCTTAAAAGAATTTAGAGCTTGGGAAGAGTTTCTCACATTCAACTGCCAGTTTTTCAGAGGAGGAAATGAAGGTCAAGAGAAAGGCTACATGACTGAGAAGTCCATCAGTCCTACTGAGGGTAACGGGAGGGTAGCCAGGGCTGAATCTCCCATCTTTCAACACTAGTAGTAGTACTGTTTATTGGTCTATGGAAGGAGGTTGTCTTGTTTCTTCTTGTAGACAAAGAACATGTAGTTGTTATGAATTTCTATTTTGGATCTGATTTTCTACCACGTTCAATTTTTAGAAATATACATTAGTATGTACCTAATAATTTTTTAGCAGGTACAATCTGCCAACTTCCTTACTACATTGATAAATTAGAACACACATATAAAGCAACTCAAACCTAGAAACTGATCAATAAGAGACACTATTTATTTTCTTTTTTTTTTCCGGAACATTTCACAAACTTCCCATACTGTTTTTCTGTTAGCTTAAGCATTGTTAAATTCTTCCCTTTCACACCTACTGCCAAGAACCCACACTTAGCGAAGCAGCTTAAGTGACTCAGTTCATGTCAAACGTTTCACAGGATTCTTACTCCCAAGGCAACTCTTTACTATCCAGTACATAAGACTCTAGAACACTAAAATTCTTTATATAGTGCCATGTGGCATCTAAAATACCTTTGGCTAAGAAATAAAACATATTTGATGAAAGTCTGGGGTTGAAATCAAAGAATGGATCAAAGTGGCCCTTCATTTGGCTCCAAGTCATCTCACCATAGTGAAATACAGCAGAATGGCACTAAGCTACTGTAATACCGAGGGGGGAGATTTTGCAAAAACAGGGAGTAACAAACACGTTTTTGCTCCTACTTTAAAGTAAATTGTACTAATGACAACAATAGTGATCTTTTATAGGCCCAAATTGGATCACTGATCAATATGATAGCATTTCAGTTTCAAATATTGGAAAGCAAAAAATAATCTGCCAATTAGAAAACAAAAAGCTTCAAACTTGAGTGATGTAATGATGGAACACCTGTATTTGACTAGACGTTATATACACACCATTGAAAGACACAGTACCTTATCTGCCTAATCTCTACAAACTGCTGCAAATAAAGGATGTTTAAACCATGTATTCTCTCTTATTAAAGCCTCCTTTTAATTGTGTTTTTCCATCTTGAGTTTCCAACAAAAGCATCCTCTTAAAGGGAGCTTTTTTTTTTTTTACAAGTAGCTGAATTTAATGACAGCTGTCTCCATGATATTGTTTTGTATAGTAAGGAGTCTCTTGGGAGTTATCCAGAAACCAAGTCAAGAAAAGACAATATTGAGAAACAAAATAAAAGGTAAGCCTAGCAAAGGCACTGATGCCTAATGGTTCCAATTGGGGCCTTATTATTGGTTAATGAATCATTGTCAAAACATCACAGCAAGCATGAACGTGCACAGTCTAGTCTATAGTGAGAAAATGACTCTTCATCCCAACAGTTATTAACTGGGAGTTGTTTGAAAACACGTCCAGTAATTATAACAACACTGGAGCTAATTGAGAACTTTGAGTTGATAGCAAATGGCCCACAACAGCAGACTAGATAACTCAGAGGGGATTCTTCTTTAATTACTTATTGAAAAATAGCAGAAAATGAATTGGATGTTGGTGATAGTCTGCAGATATCAAGACAAGTTTCGCTAATTCTATCCCAAGATGTGCTTCGAAATATATCTGTTACCATTATGTTAGAAGTGGCATTTGAAAATGTAAAGTTCTTAAGTAAAAATCAGGGCTGCTTTCCTAATTATGCCGTTTTTAAGATTACCTTTTCCTGTTAGAGTAAGGTTAAGACTTGAATAATATACATTTCATTCTGACAGTCAAGTATTCACAGAATGACTATAGGAATTCTCCTCCCTAATGCTAACTGTGTTTCCATGATTTCTATTCCCAATGGGTAAAAACAGGGAGACACAAAGACACAGAAATGCTCCATTTGCCTCTTAGTTGTTTCCCCAGTCAGGAAAGGATTTAAAACTGTGGCATGAAGTGAAATTTTTGAATGACTGTGGATTTTGTTTATTCATTGTGCTTGTTCTCCCTACATCAGTGATTATAAGACACGGTCAATATAATATTAGTTCCATGCTGTAAAGACAAAATAAAAGCAAGGACATATGTTCTAATAAAAATTTATCTTTAGATGTTTATTCCACTTTTTGAAATATATTAAAGGAGGATCTCAGAAGTTGAAAATCTGATGCTCAGCACTGTCCTCACCACCATGCTGCCTCCAGACTAAGTGCGGTGTTTGTTTCTTCACAGCCTGTAGCTTTGTTAAGCAAAACCACACATCTATCTCACAAAGGGACAGAGAAAACATAAAATGTCCCAATTTCCTCAGCCAACACCTGGCCAATGGAAAGCAAAAGGCTTCGGATGGGAAACTTCATTCATTCATTCTTCAAACTCTCTAAATTACTACGCAGTCTGAAACACTCCTACTTTTCATGTCTGATTATTTACTTTTGGCTCAGTAAAATAACTGGAAAGTTGACACTTTTCCAAAATGTTAGACAACACACTGCAAGACACAATAAGATACAAAACAAGTGCCGGACGCGGTGGCTCATGCCTGTAATCCCAGCACTTTGGGAGGCCGAGGCGGCTGGCTCACAAGGTCAGGAGATCGAGACCATCCTGGTCAACATGGTGAAAACCCGTCTCTACTAAAAATACAAAAAATTAGCTGGGCACGGTGGCGCATGCCTGTAATCCCAGCTACTCAGGAGGCTGAGGTAGCCTGGAGGCTGAACCCAGGAGGCGGAGGTTGTGGTGAGCTGAGATCGCGCCATTGCACTCCAGCCTGGGTAACAAGAGCGAAACTCTGTCTAAAAAAAAAAGATACAAAACAAATAATATTTTCAGCTCTCTCTACCTCTCAATGTACGGGCTCTGGAAAATATGAAGAAAGGAAAAAAGTGTTTGGTTATCTCCCTTGCTACCTCTCCATTGCCTTTTCATTTCCCCCTTGCAAACCTGGGCAATGTAAGTAATTAATTTTCAATAAGCTGAATAAATGGTCTTCCGCTATTAAATAGCTCTAATAGGTTGAGAGGTTTACAATGATGTGAGCATTCCAGGCAAATGTATTTAGTGGAGCCTTGGAAATCTCTGATAAGATTTCATAAATACCCTTGGCTGAATTGGCAGCTTGTAGAGACCAGCACTGATACTGGGGCTGGTAAACGGGCCACTCAGGGCACCCTCTGTTACTAGGTTCTCAAGCTTTAATGCTAGGTATCCCTATGGCTCAAATTTTATAGTAGGGGAAATAGCTATCCAAAATTTAAAACCCAGAAAATATGATCAGCCATCCTTTAGGAAGCTGTCCACACAGAGGAAGGAAGTCAAAAACACATGGAATAAAACCAGTGCAGATCTCTATGTTGTACTCTTTACTCTGTGGCAAAATCATCTCCCAAATTAATCTTACACTTTATTTGTTTTAATCATCCAGACAACGATCAAAATTATTATCATGAAGCTTGGTTGGCCCTGCCTCATATCATATCTCCACCCTGTTACCTGGCAGTGAGGTCTTTTCCCATTTCCCCTGCTTCCACACAATGGTAACACTTTGAAGTAGTGCTGGTGAGGTTCCTAAATTTGTTGTCTCTGCTTAAAATTGATAATCTCCTATGATACAAACCTCAACCACATATTTTTAATGAAACCTTTAGATGAATATCAAAGAACTATTTAGCCATGCCTAATATTTTAATTAGATTATATTCTCAATTTAACCCATTAAACTGCCTTTGATGATCCCAATATTTAGTGTTTAGCCTCAGATGCACGAGGTAATGAATACCGGACCTTTTGATTTAATGAGAATTTCAGCTCTTCCAGCCTGCGCCTCTTTGTATACCTTTTATTTTGCTGGCTATAGAATTCAGTTAATTGAAGGAGTCTCTTACCATCACACATTAAGGAGTATAAATTAGCATCCCTATTCTGATTGGAAAATGCAAGCAGACAGTTTTGCTTTGATCTGAGGAGTAAGCTGCAGAAGGCAGCAGCCCTCTGAAAATGAGCTGATGGCCCTTGTTCTCAGGGCAAAATGCAGATGCATCCATGTGTCACAAAACACTTAATGTCTTAATTGATCACCTCCCAATTCGTCCTGTCCTGTGTGCATCATTCTCTTTAGAGACTTGTATATACATGTGTTTGTATGTGTCTATTTGTGTATCTGTATCTTTGTCTCGCTTTCTCTGTTCATCCTTTCTGTTTCTCCCCTCTCCTCAGCAGTTAGGGACCTAGGTTATAAATTAATCTGAGACAAAGGAAAATGAAATAATATAAATTCCCTCACCTTGAAATGTATAAGAATATCTGGTAGAGCTCTTCAGAACCTTCCATAGACAAAGATTCTTAAGAACTAACTCTGACTTCCAATGTGCTCAACCAGGCAGAGCCCAAGCCATTGGTACTGCATTACTTAGTATGAAGTAGATAGGCTATTCTGTGTTTTGTCAAGGAAATCAGCCTTTTAATCTCTTGGATGATAATGCAATTCTCCTGTACCTCAACAATTCAGTTACATAAAAGAAATGTCAAGGTAAAAGATCAGTACCTCCATTACTCACTGTAAATGCCAAAATAAAATAACAGAAAATTCAAATTATGGGACTTCTGGATAAATACAGTATACTGAAAACACACACACACACACACACACACACACACACACACACACATCTATTTCATTCCCTTGACAAGTCCTACTAAAATCATAGTGAAGGTTTTTAAATGGCACAAATATATGAGACCAGGGAGAACAGGAGGAGGAACAATAGTAGCAACGTTTTGAAAACTGGGAAACAAATGAATGAGTTGTTTAAAAAAATTAGCAGATCAAAAAAAAAAACACAATTCTTTTTCTTTTTACATTTTCATAGAATATCAGATTTCTTAAAAATACTAAATTCTAAGCTAGCAATAGGAAAGCCAAGAATCAATCTGACTTATACTCTAGAATACCTAAAATGTTCCAGAATTAATGGTGTCAGTTATCTCTTGAAGTAAGAATGGATGGATATGGGGGGGGGGGGGGTGGCTAATGAAGGGTGACTTCATGAAAGTCAGTGTAAGAGCAGTTACACCTGTAAATACTTTCCTCAATTCCCACACAGCCACACACAGCCCTTCCACTGCCCCAGTAAAAGACACTGCCCTAGTATTTTTGCAGTCAGGGACAACTGGTTATATTGAGAATACACAGTATTGAAAAAAGAGTCAATAGTGGACATGTGCATTGTAAATACAGAAACCTCTGGTCTTCTTCCTTTTGGCTCCCAGAACATTGGGACTTTATCCTACAAGCAGGAATTTGAAAAGTTCTTCTCTGGGGAATCTCATCAGCCTAAAATGAAAGACCTAAAAATCGTGACTTCAGAGGTTTTCCAACGAAAGAGCCCAATCTTGTTATCTTACAGTTAAACCTCACAGTCAGCAAGTCCCACCCATGTACTCATAGTTTCCTATCAGCTTTCTAGCCTCTCACTTAAATATGGGCAGGCAACCAAGAATTTCCAAACGTCTGAGGATATGACACACAACTATTTTAAAAAGGAGGCGGACAAGATAATTAAAAGAGATCTTGGGAATTAGAATTAGAGTCAAAAAACTTAAAACACAAAAATAAGGTTAGAAGAAAACATTGAGAAATTTTTCCAAAAATCAGAGAAAAAAAAGGCAAAGGGATAGAAAATAGGAGATAAGAGATTAGAAATGTAGAGGATAAACCCAGGGGGCAGAAATCTAAATAACAGGAGACCTACAGAAATCATTAAAGAATTCAAGAGTACTCCCCATAACTGAAAAAAAAAACGTATTTTCAGACTTAAAGAGTTTATTGACTATCTGGAACAATGGATGAAAATAAACCCAAAGCAAGACATATACTTGTAAACTTTCAGTAAACTGGCTACAAAGAAAGTATCCTACAGGTTTCCAAAAAGGAAAATAAATGAATACATAGAACGCACAAAAAAATTAAGAATCAAAGTCATTTTAGACTTCGTAATAGCAATTGGAAGCTAAAAGTCAGTGAAGTGGTGTATTCAAAAGTATTCA